ATTCTTAATCAAACGCAGTTTTTATTTTGTTACAAACTTTTGCACTAGCAATGTTTTTTTTCGTGTATCCATGGCTATGCCAGAATAAACTGAACTGAACTGAACTGAACTGAAGCTGTCTTAAAGAGAAAGCTGAATTTTAACAGAACAAAGAGACTGACGGGAAACTTTTTTTTCTTAATCGCCAATGTTAGCATTATATACTTAACAACGGAGAATAGATTTGATTCGAGTTTATTTTTTTCGAAATTTTCACCTGCACCGTACGATATCAGTGCAGATCGTACACATACATTCGAGGTCAGGCTTTACGATCGTATGCCTGGCATAGGTATGCACCAGTTACAGATCAGTTTTTTCTGACTGTTTTTGGAGCATCTAGGAAAATTGTTATAATACTGTTGTTAAGAATCTCTCAGATTTTCGCAACGTCTCATTTTGTAGAAAAATGTTTATTCTACGTATTTGTATGGAAGATAAAATTAAAGACTGAAAGAGAGAAGTATTTTTAACGAATTACTGAACATACAAACAGTTATGTAAGTGGTGATCCTTTTACATATTAGAATCAGCCTGATGAGTTACGTTGTACGGTGCACAGATCTCGTCGGGTTACACGGAAAAATGGGGTCTTAGGAGTCCCACTTATAATACCATTGTATTCAACGGTATAATTCATAGTTCAACTTCCAACGTGCCGCTTTTCGTTCGTTCTGCTTGTAGTGCCATTTTTCTTTCTGTTTGATTTTTTCCCTTTTCTACGCATATATAGAGACGTATAGAAAGCAAGAAAGTGAAAAGTTCTACTTTTCATCGAAATGTTATTATACGATAACTGAAGCAAATATCTGAAAACTAACTTCAGTCGCGTCATGTACGATGCTTTTACTTCCGAATCATCTTTTTCTCAAATCTGTACGATCAGAGATAATTGAGCACGGTGGGCGGAAAAAACGATCAGAACTGTAAGAATTAGATGCCAGCTACGCTTTGCTAAGATTGGAAGCCGACTGAGTGAAACACGAATGGAACCAGCTAGCTTCTAGCTATGGCAGTACACCGGATATAACTCTTACGAGGTGATTAAACGCTTTTTGCTCGGAATCTAGTGGATTATAGGTTATCGACCATGCTGATTACGAATATGACCATAGGGGTTGCCCTTAGCCCTTCGAAGATCTGGTTTTCTAGAAAACCAATTTTTCAGAAACTCTAAAATATAACCCAAACCTTTCTTAATGAGGCATGATTGTAGCTCGCACATTTCTGATTGAAATGAGATATCTCCCAGCTTTATACGCCCTTTCTTTGCAAAGTTATAGAATTTACAAGAAAAGCCCTAAATGTTCATTGTCAGCTCAAAGCTGAGATAAGAAGAAATTAATCTAGGGCTTTTCTTGTAAATTCTATAACTTTGGAAAGAAAGGGCGTATAAAGCTGAGAGATGTCTCATTTTAATCAGAAATTTTCGGGCTATAATCATACCTCATTAAGAAAGGTTTTAGTTATTTTTTGAAGTTTCTGAAAACCTGGTTTTCTAGAAAACTAGATCTTCTAGAAATCTAGATCTTCTAGAAAACTAGATCTTCTAGAAATCTAGATCTTCTAGAAAACTAGATCTTCTAGAAAACTAGATCTTCTAGAAATCTAGATCTTCTAGAAAACTAGATCTTCTAGAAATCTAGATCTTCTAGAAATCTAGATCTTCTAGAAAACTAGATCTTCTAGAAAACTAGATCTTCTAGAAAACTAGGTCGTCGAAGGACTAAGAGCAACCCCCATGGACATATTCGTAATCAGCATGATTGATAACATATAATCCACTAGATTCCGAGCAAAAACTGTTTAATCACTTCGAAAGGTTCCCTCGTTAGTAAACTGCTATATATGTTTTCTCCTTTAGCAACAAAAATATGTTTCGCATTTTATACAGCTACGTTTATCTTCTACAGCATATTATTCACATTATCGTATCAGCTGATTCATTATCCTATCATATATTCTGCTATAGCTTTCATCATATCAATCACTATAGTACATATGCACTACGCAGGATATCACGTGACCATTAATTGTCTGATAGGAGATCACTCCATGCTGCTGGAATATAATGCGCTTGAGCAGTGAAGCATAGCACATGAGGAGCGTGTGTGTAGCTACAGAATATACGAAAGAATGTTAAAGCAAAATGTCCGTAGATAAGTCATTGCAAAAGAAGCACATTGATTGCAAAACGAATGGGAACATCGAGAGCACTGGAACCGTGGAGCAAGAAAATGGGGACGACGTTAATGCATTAGATTTCCAGACTATTAGCAATAGGCCTGCATATGGACAGGTGTGTATTTACGAGTTGATCGTTCATTAAGCTTTCTTTACTTAAATCTCATTGTCAAAATGTCCACTCATGTTGTTGTCGATTTTATGCCAAGGAATATGGAGGGCTTATCAAAAGAGGATGAATGTAGGTGACGATAATGCAATTCGTCGGCGTTAGTCACTCGCATTCACCCTTACGTTATTGATAATTTCTCAATAATTCTTAATTGCCAAAAACCAGTCATCTCTACAAGCACTGAAAGCAATTGATCTTTGATTTTGAAGCATCGACGCTCATTGCGAAAGCGGAAGATTGTTACTAGTCACGAAAAGAAAAGATAACTGCAGATGGAAGATGTTAACGTTCAGACCGCCATCGCGCTCCCCAGGCAGGCATTTTGTTTGACCTAACGCACTGCGCAACGCGTTTTTATGCGCCCAAAACACGTTTCACACCACACTTGAAACGCGTTTGGATGCGTTAGATAGACGTAAATACTGTTAAACGCGTCATATATTAACGCGTTTAAATACGTTAAAACTAGACACGTTTCGCTACGTCCAAAATTAACGCGTCAGAAACCTGCGAAAATAAATGCGTCTTGCTGCATCCGAAAGACTAGCGCATGCGACCGCGTCAAATTTAGCGTTTCGATGCGTTAATGTACCTCAACTGCTGCTAAACGCGTCAGATTCTAAATATTTGTACATGATATGCAGCGAATGCATTCATTCATGTAAGAAAACTGAGTCTTGACCGAGTTTCATTCTAGTGCATTGTACAGCGTTTGGAAGCGTAAGTTTTTGCCTCCAAAGACATATTCATAGGCAACGAGAGCATCGACTCACTAAATCACTCTTTAAGAAACGATAAAATGAAACAATAAATATGTCAAGTAGCAGACTTCAATTGTAATGAGTGAACACAATGATTTAAATTTTCCAGTTCTTTTTCATAATTTATGTTTTCTTCTATTTTCTCTTACTAAAATGGAGATTATTATACGAATCTTCACTGTCATAGCTGAACGCGCTCTCATAGCCTCCGGAATATTCGAAAATCAATGCAGAGCTTAACAATAGAAAGAAGAAAACATCTCTGCGAAAAGAAATCTGAAAAAAAGAGACAGTCACAAAAGAAGTGTCTGGAACTGAGTTCACAAACCTTTCTTCAGCCAAGATAAGCCTTCATTAAATTGCTCTTTCATGAAAACTTCACCATTTGAAAAAAGATGAGGTTTTGCCTTCATGTTTTTACATAGAAAAAGAACTGTCTTTAACAACAGCTAGAAGTACTTTAAATGAAGTGCAGATTATTCCATCAAGGTATCCCATCTACTAAAAAAAGTAGTCTGGAAAAAAGCGAAATATAAACAGTCTTTTTTAACTTTTTTTGATAGACGCTGGTAAAACTACCACTATTACATAGAATTAAGAATCAAGAAAGCAAAACAACAAGTCTTTTTATGAAGTTACAGATGATCGAAACACTTACTAATGATACAGTTCATCTTTCGATCGTCTGCAACTCAGGTGGCTATGTGTTTGCTTCTTAATTCTAGATACCCATGTTCGACCCACACTCAAAGCATGTAAGTAATATTTCGTTCTTAAGTTGTGATTCTTTACTCTACAGCTCTTCCTGATCACAGACATGTTATAGAGATAGCATAGATTCAAAACTGCGTTTAAATGCATTCAAAATTTACATTTATTTCAAATTTACATTTTATAACGCGTTCAAACGCGTTAGGAACTAACGTAAATAACGCGTTTTTGTAGCAGAAAATGACGCCGTGGGTCGATGATGGAATGACGAATGGTCCACGAAAAGGGGTGAGCAAATACATCGAGATTCAGACTGATTCATCGTACAAGGTTGATGAGCTGAATTCGAGCGGGGAAGAAAATTCTGATCATAAACAAGTGGCATTAGCAGTGGAAGGTGGCGATAGCACAAATGATATCTCTCTGTCAAAAAATCGTCGACTTGTAGAAGTTGTCGATGTAGAACAAGATCGGCAAACCACAGGCTCTGTCAACGATATCAGAAACGATCTTGGTCCCATTGTAGAATACGCCGCAGAGCCTTTGCTGCCGCTCGCTGAGGCGTGTGCTCCATTGGACAGCATCATCCACGATTTATCCTTCTATGTTCAGCTGGCGCTCGACGAAACTCCGGTTCAGCCGCCCGACGAACTAACTATCGACGAGAGTGCTGCGATTCGCCTCTACACGATCGAGTGGGTAGGACCGCATCGAAGTCTCTATTCAATGCTCAATTACACCCTCAAGAATGCCGATCGCAAGAATCTTCAGCCCTATTTCAAGTATCTCAAACTGCTCGTCACTGCTGTAGTCAAACTGCCAATCGTCCCACCGCAGACCGTCTGGCGAGGGGTACACAAAAATTTGAGTACACAGTTTCCGCCCGGTACCTTGGTAACATGGTGGAGTTTTTCATCGTGCACGATTGCTCTGACTGTGCTCGAGAACAACATGTATTTGGGCAATACGGGCAGTCGTACGCTCTTCTCCGTCGAAGCCATCAATGGTCGAACAGTACGTGCTCATTCGCATTTCGTTACCGAAGATGAAATTCTTCTTCTGCCGGGCACCTACATGGAAGTTCAATCGCAATTTAGTCCGGCGCCTGATCTGCACATCGTCCACTTAAGACAAATCAAACCGGTCGAGACACTTCTCGAACTTCCATTCGAAGGTAGTCCTACCTATTAAAATGTAGATGGACATCTCATCTATTCATCTTTAGGTGCGCATCTCTATCTGCCGGACAAGAAAAAAGTGCCTTGGTACAAAACACGACGGACAATTTGTGAACTTATCTTGTTGGTGATTCTTTGCATTTTCGGCATCATTGTCGGTTCAACGCTTGGCGCAAGACGTTCGCCACCATCACCACCGGGTATGTGACACAAGTGTTGTATCACACAATCTTGTGTTTTTCTTGCTGAAGCTAAAGAAGCGAGTGAAGCGGGCTTGCCACAATAACACAAGCTGATACTGGCACTACGTCCATTAACCAGACTGTATCCACGCGGATACCAGAAAAAACCATCACTGCATGTTTCAAGTCGGAAACTAATACATGAAAACTCTATTACTATAGACTTAAAACTAAATCAGCAAACCTCGCCTGTCTCACTTTAGTGTGTACTGCAGGATTCCTAACACATGCGAGATATACCACTGGGAGATATCCAGGTTCTGTGACAACAGGTGATTTCAATGGTGATTACAGAACTGATTTGGCTGTTGCAAATCACAATGATCGCTTCGTCAGTATACTGCTAGGCAATGGCAATGGCAGTTTTCAAAGTCAAGTCAAATATACCACTGGGAGTGGTCCAATTTCTGTAACAACGGGTGATTTCAACGGTGATAACAGAACCGATTTGGCCGTTGCGAATAATGATGATAGTACCGTCAGTATACTGCTGGGCATTGGCAACGGCATTTTTCAAAGTCAAATCACATATGAAACTGGGAGTGGTCCAACTTCTGTGGCAACACTTGATTCCAATAGTGATCACAGAGTTGATTTGGCTGTTGCGAATTCCGGTAATAGCACCGTCAGTATACTACTCGGTAATCGCAACGGAACATTTCAAAGTCAAGTCCAATACACCACTGGGAGTGGTGCATATTCTGTGTCAACGGGTGATTTCAATGGTGATTACAAAACTGATTTGGCTGTTGCGAATAATGATGATAGTACCGTCAGTATACTGCTAGGCAATGGCAACGGCACTTTTCAAAGTCATATCACATATAACACTGGGAAATATCCAGTTTGTGTAACAACAGGTGACTTCGATGGTGATAACAGACCTGATCTAGTTGTTGCGAATAATGATGATAGTACCGTCAGTATACTGCTCAGTAACGGCAACGGCACTTTTCAAAGTCAAATCACATATGACACTGGGAAATATCCAGTTTCTGTGACAACCGGTGATTTCAATGATGATAACCGAACCGATTTGGCTGTTGCGAATAACCATGATAGTACCGTCAGTATACTGCTAGGCAATGGCAACGGCACTTTTCAAAGTCAAGTCAAATATACCACTGAGAGTACTCCAAGATCTGTGACAACGGGTGATTTTAATGGTGATGAGAGAGCTGATTTGGCTGTTGCAAATTCCAACGAGAACAGCGTCGGTGTATTGCTCAGTAACGGCAACGGGATATTTCAGAGTCAAATCACATATGACACTGGGAACTATCCAGTTTATGTAACAAAAGGTGATTTTGATGGTGATAACAGACCTGATTTAGCTGTTGCGAATAACGATGATAGTACCCTCAGTATACTGCTCAGTAACGGCAACGGGATATTTCAAAGTCAAATTACATATGACACTGGGAAATACCCAGTTTCTGTGACAACGGGTGATTTCAATGGTGATAAGAGAGCTGATTTGGCTGTTGCAAATTCCGGTGATAACACCGTCAGTATACTGCTCAGTAACGGCAACGGCACTTTTCAATATCAAGTGAAATATACGACTGGAAGTGCCCCAAAATCTGTGACAACAGGAGATTTTAACGGTGATAACACAAGTGATTTGGCTGTCGCAAATTCTGGTGATAACACCGTCAGTATACTGCTCAGTTACAGCAACGGCACTTTTCAATGTCAAGTCAAATATAGGACTGGAAGTACTCCATATTCTGTAACAACAGGGGATTTCAACAGTGATAACACAACTGATTTGGCTGTTGCAAATTCCAACGAGAATACCGTCGGTGTATTGTTCGGGTACGGCAACGGCACTTTTCAAAGTCAAATCACATATAACAGTGGGAAATATCCAATTTGTGTAACAACAGGTGATTTCAATGGTGATAACAGAACTGATTTAGCTGTTGCGAATTTGGGTGATAACACCGTCAGTATACTGCTCAATAATGGCGATCGAACATTTCATAGTCAAGTCACGTACGACACTGGAAATTCCCCATATTCTGTGACAGGAGATGATTTCAATGGTGATAACACAGCTGATTTGGTTGTTGCAAATTCCGGTGATAACACCGTCAGTATATTGTTTGGTAATGACCATGGAACGTTTCTACCTCAGGTCAAACATCCCACTGGGGTTGTTCCATATTCTGTGACAACAGGTGATTTCAGTGGTGATAATACTACTGATGTAGCTGTTGCAAATTCCCGTGATAACACCATCATCATATTTCTTGGTGTGTGTGACTGAAGTAATGTGCTTCAGTTACAAAAAAAGTTTAAATTCTCTTAGAGCGTTTTTTCAGTTCCTCAGGCGTTGGCAGAAAATAAAATATCTTAAGAGACGTTCCATGAGGGCACCGACTATATGGACTTTTTGAAAATCGCAGAGCTTTTTCTATAAATAATTCCCGACTTTACAGTGTAGTATTAATAACTAATATCATTCTTAACTGAAATTAGTAAACGATACTTAAAAAGTAATCTAGTACACGTTAAAATATCATTTCCCCTCTTTTATCGATCCTGAGAGAAAAAACTCTTCTCTCATTACTTATTAATTAAGAGTTTCAAGATTTGTACTATAAGTATCAGAAATTTACATCTGTAGTTAAGGAGCTGGAATTTCAAAAGTTGAACACTATCTTTTTCCGGTTAAATTATACATGGTTCGAAAGAGCACATCAAATTGAACAAGAAACAGTTGTTTTTATCATTTCAAACATTTAAGTTAGAAAAATTAAAAACGCCTGGAGGGTCGGATTTTTCGAAATTTTCAGCTATTCGGACCAACGTAACACCTGTTAGATATACTATCTGATCTGCTTTTTTTTAGTGAAGTTTTTTACTTGGCTCCCTACTTTAGAGGTGACAGTCAGCTGGCCATGTCGATATATCGTTTTTTTTTATTACTTTGCTTCCTTCGTGACAAAATTTTACTTCCATTTAAATTTTGGCATTTTTGCCCAAAATTGGGCTCGTATTTTGCCATTTTCTCCCTCAAAATTTAATTTTTTACAAAAGCAAGGTAATATGCAGCATCACAAACTGAGTCGAATAGTGTGAGTTTTCGAATTTTTCGGCCGAAAGCAAGTATCTGTTCCTACATGCTATCTCAGATAAAATATACAAAATAATTCAATATACGAAAAAGAAAGAAGGAAAGTGAATTATATTCCCCTAGTTTATCAAAAATAAATAAAATTTTATTCCACTCTAGTTTTCCATTATCACATACTGGATCCTTACATCGGGTACAATATGCTTTTTTTGCAATATCAATTAGTATAGCTACAGAGTTGTGTCTATGATGTCTTTTAATCTTGGGACAATATTTGAAATTCTCACAGATGTTGTAAATTAGAACATTTGAATTACGGTTTCCACGAATAAATTTCTCCAGGATGATCTTTATCAACTTTCAAAAGTCTTGTCACAAAAGCTGTATATTTCAAATAATCAGTATCAAATATCTTCGTTTCTAAATGTTTATCTTCACATATGCGAAGTAATAAAGACGAATTAAAAAGATTATTATCTTTATGTGCAGTAATACTTAAAAACGGAACAATATCATTAAGAATAATTTTATTTATACCGTCGTTGACTGATCATCTTCAGATCTTACAATTCTGAAACCATAATATCTATTGTTGTAACCAATGATTTATGAAAGATCATTGAGGTAGAATGATTATTAGTTGCATCAAACGGATACCTATTTAGGAAAATCAAAGGTATATTCTACCCATATTTAATACAGTTATACATTCGCAACTGTTGATTTTTTGAATAAACACTTCATCAATAGAAAATTTTAGTATATCATTTTCATCTAACACTAATAAATGACAAATATTAGCTATGCTAATCACATATCACCGATAAAAAAAAATTAAAGTTTATTTAGAGTTAAAGAAAAGTGCTTTTTCGTATTCAGCATACTTGATAACCTCGAAAATTTTCTATTTTTTAGCGAGGGGCACCGCCAAAAAGTTAAGAAAAATTTCTAAACAAATTGACGTAGAAAAACCCCCAAAAATTACACAATTTTGAAAAATTTTCTTAACTTTTTGGCGGTACCGCTCGCCAAAAATAGAAAATTTTCCAGGTAATATACATAGTAATGTACATTGTTTTTGTTTCTGTTTGACTCGAGTCATTGTTATTATAGGTCGCGGACCTTGATGATTCTCATTTTTCGTAAATAAATCATTCATTCATTCAGTTTGTAAGGCTGTCTGGGTTTAACCAAATGATTAAAGATAGTTTCGATGTTGTTAAGATGCCACCAGCGTCTTACTTAGAAGTGAGCAGTGTCAAAAAATGCTATTCTTAGCTACTATCTTATTTTGAGCTACAAACGTTTTGAGTTTGTAGAAAAGTAATCTTAACCCAGATAGATTTCATTCATTGCTCTCTTGAAGACTGACGACTATCTTCAACTTAGGTCGCAAAAGGCGACATCTGACGGATTTGATACTAGCTAACTCAATGTTCTCTATCATAAAAAATCAATTTTAAGATCATGGTCTTAATTATTTTATAAATAATATTAAAAAATTGAAAAATAAAAATATTAAGGTTAATAATTTTTCTTATATATTTTAAGCAAAGAGGATGATCTACACACTCCAGTCAAACAGATTGGCTAATTAAGGTATCTTGGTGCGTATTCCTTGCCAAAAAAAAAATAAACAGCATCTCCTACAAGGTTAGGATACGCCAGGAGAACAACCCAAATGTCAACTTGAAATTATATTGTGCTATATCGATTGTATCTTAACTTTCTTACACAACAGTAGGAAAAATTCTTTGTACGTCTTCTATGTCTCGACGAAACACATATTTCGGCTACGCTGAGGTACAGCCCTGCATTAGATGGACATGGACAGTTTGTTTAAATTTGTCCATGGACAAAGTGAAAAACTTTTAAGTTTTTTTCAAAGCAACAATTCGGTTGAACGCCAGTGATAAAACGCGAACATTCCATGGACAGAAAAAAAAGTGTCCATGCAAGCTTCTACCTCAAGGTGTCTTGAAAAGTTTTAATTAAAATTAAATACACAAATTCCTGTAACATAAATTCAACTGCGACTATTCAATATCTGAATCTTCAATTATTCATATATCTGTTGTAAGACTATTAATAATTCTACTAGTCTGTTTAATTCAAAATAAATCGAACAGTTTTTATAGGTTTATATGCGAGTTTTCTATAATACTAAACGAGAGACAACTTTTGAAAATCAAATATCGTTATTCATCTAATGAATAAACAAAAAAGTCCAAAGAAGTTAATTAATAAATACCGTTATGATTTCTGAGAGATAAATTTTTTTCAATCATTTATAATTATCTCTACTATCAGACGTGTTCTCTGCTAGTTGTACGCATTTAATTGAACATTTTTCAACTATTGCTATAAAGGCGAAAAAAAAAACTCTCATACAAACCTATAAAAACTTCGTTCGATTTATTTACAGTGAGATAGACTAGAGTAATTTTTAAGTATTCTTTTCAAATAACGTATGAATATAATTGAAAATTCAGATTTTAATAGTCAAAATTGAAGTTTTTCTTAAAGAATCTACATATGTGTCAATTTTGTCTTGTTAACGAATAAATAGCCATATTCAAAAGCATAGACTGAAGAAACATGAAAATATTTTAAAACTTTGGTACGAAGAAAAATGATTGGTTTTCAATGTTTTAATTGTTAAACTGTAAATAATCTATGTATGGAGACAAAAATTGCTCTAAAATGAGTTAGATCTGACATAGAAGGCAATAGCTAAAAACTGAACCAATTTTAAATGTCAAGATGGGAAAGATAATTTTTTTAATAATGAACACATGAATAATTTTGGAATTCACGTGTATTTTAACGATCATTCTCTATTTTACTTGTTTTAAATTTGAGTGCAGATACTATTTGAGAACTGTGGTCTTAAACGTTTTGCATTAGATACAAAAATCCACCATTTGTTTCACAAATAGCAGGAGATTGTTGATGTATTTAACGGCACCGTTTTTGGATAAATCACGATTTTAGTATGTATGTGTTGTCATTCGAGACTGAGTAAGGAAGATATTGCATTAATTAATTGTAAAGTTACTTTAGGGTTGTTCTTTAATGGTATCACGAACTTCTAAAACAAAATAAAAATAAAAATATATTTCAAACATGTAGAATTCTATTCTTTTGTTTTCTTTAGATTTTCATCATGTTTTCTTTCATGTCTTCATCACCGATGAATTCTCCGACGCCATCATCTCCAATGATTTCCAATGGTAGCAATCGTTTAAATGAAGAATTAAATTCGTTAAAAGGATGGCGTTTATCACTGGAAACAGATGTGAAAGAAAAAGTATTAACGTTTTCTATTTTTTCGTTTTTTCTATTTTCTATCGAGTTTAGAATGAAGAATTACAGAAACTTCAAAAAATTAATCAACAACAAACACAAACGTTAAAAGATTCTCAGGTAGATAGAATGAAATAATATCTGCTGAGTTTAACTGCAGAAATTGAAGAAAAAAACCTTTTAGAGACGCTTGTTTATATTTGTTAAATTTTTTTTGTAGATTCAAATTGAACAACAAAACTTTGTTATTAATACCATGAAGCAACATGAAACCGCATTCGAAAAAAAGTAACTACAATGAATGACATGAGTGAACGAACATATACCTCTTTATACTTTAGAATACATCACTTAGAAAAATTATATTCAATATTGAAGAATAATTTGACAAAACTTGAAAAAGCTGTATCACAGTGTAGGTTTATACGTTAGGATAGTTCTTGATGACGAAATCATTTTGAATCTAGTACTATGCCCTTCTACATCATACCCTCAGATTTCTAATATAGTGCTTCTTCGTTTATTTAAACGTGATACATTTATTTTGTTTAGGTGAATTTGTACGTGTTGATTTAGAAAGAATGTACGAAGTACAGAGTAGAGAAGTTAAAGTACGCTCAAGTTTGAGAGTTTTTTAATTGTTAGTTTTTTCAATTGAAAGTTTTAACTTTAGACATTGTCAGATCGTGTTGATACATCAATGATAGCACAATTACAAGATCGTACGTTATTTTTTCTCAATTGATGATAGAACATAAAGTTTCTACTTTCTGCTCATAGTTGAAGTTCATCTTCAGTTGGAAAAACAGAAGCATCAACAAGTAGTTTATGAATTGGACAGACAGGTTTGATGTTTGCGTGTTATTTTAGTCGCTTCCATATATCACCCAATCAGTTGCTATAAGTTTTCTTTTATTTACTGTCTAGAATAAATTATTTGAATTGTCAGTGAAAGAGTTGGAACGTAAAACAGAAAGTTTGACTGCAAATCACGATGAAAATATCAAACAATTGAATGATCATTGTGTACGTATATATCATTTTTTATATTTTTATGCATTCTTCTCACTTCTCTGTTTTTTTCTTCAGAATCAGCTTCGACGTCAACATGAAGAACATATTATACAATTGATGACGGAACATAATACTGAAGTTAATTTAGTAAAATTTCAACTTAATTCATCGAATCAAGAATATGAAAAGTTGATGGATGAATCCACAAAAAAACATCAGGAAGAACTTGAACATCTTCATGATCTTGTTGTACGTATTGATAATCATGTTTTGTAAAAATATCATTTCGCTTCTGTGGTTATATAAAATAACAGTAACAGAGATCTGAAGAGTGAAAAACTTTATCTTCCACGATACATCATTTCTATTACTGCCGTCTTTGTTCTAGGAAAAAAAACAAATTGAACATGAACAACAAGTTCAAAAATTAACATCATATCATGATAAACAAGTTGCTTCATTACAAAAAATTAATGATATTTTACGAACTGAATATGAACGTTCAAACGAAGAATCAACAAAAAAACATCATGATATTGTTGATGAATTGAATGTTGCTATGGTATGTTTAGAGAAAGAATATGTCTATTTTAAGTCAATTAGTCCTTAATTTTTCTTTTAGGATAAAATTCAATCTGAACATCAGGAAGTCGTAGCAAAATTGTTAACAAATTATATGACTGAAAGTTGTAAATTAGAAGAAAAAATTGATATTTTACAAAAAGAATTAGAAAGTTCAAGAGAAAATTTAACAAAACATCAGAGAGATATAGAAAATATGATACATGAAATGGTAAGGCTGCGTCGCCTTCATTGATGAACGAATCATTTAAAGGAAATAATTTACTACTCTTCAAGACTCGAATAAAATCTGAACATCAACAAAGTATTTTGAAATTAAATAATGATCACGAAAATGAAATTAATTTGTTGAAACAAATGAATGATGCAGCTAAAGATCGATTTGATGTAGTAATTGTAAGTGAATTCGTTTTCGAAACTGTATGATTTAGAATAAAGATTCTCAAAAAAACCTTTATATGAAGAAGATGCAAAGAAATTAGAATGTCGCTCTTTTTGCCAGTTCTATGTTTCGTAGATCTAATTTAGAAATAATTTGAAAAGAATATTAAATTCTATTGTGTATTCAGCAGAATGCTAACGAAGCAGTCTCTTTTTGTTGAAATGTGAAGAGAATGTCATGTACTCGGTCTTAGAAACCATCGTTTAGAAGCATCTTTTCTTTCATATTTAGTTATGCACAATAAACTCTTTGGATTCTAGGAACAAATGAGAATTGAACATGAAGAACATATTAAAACATTAACAAATAGTAATGATCGAGAAAGCGATCTATTACAAGAGAAATTTGTTGAATTACAAAATCAATTTGCACTTTTTAAAGAAGGTACAAAGGTTACCCATTCCGAAGAAATAAAACAACGTGATAATGCAATTGTAAGAAGAAACATGGAGGTAGTTGTCAAGTATTTCTAATATTTTTCTATTATTTTCTTTTAGAAACAAATAGAAATTGAGTATCAACAGAAAATAGAAAAAATAATGAATGATGATAGAGCTGAACTGGATTTGTTGAAACGAAATAATGAAAAGCAGTTGAGTGAAAAATTAGTAAGTAAATATTTTTTCACCATCTTTTTTTGTTATCTTATCATCCGATAAACATGTGTTTAGGTTAACCATGTAGCAGAAATTGAGACATTAAAAGCAAAACATCAGCGACAAAAAGATTTATTTGAGGAAGAAAATGAACTTATAAGAAATCAAATAATAAATATACGTAATGATGCAGTAAGTAGAGACGATAATTGAGATATACTAAGTCTCACAGCTGTGTGTGTGTGTGTGTGTAATATGTTGAAAATAATGACACACTCATTCAGTTTTGTCAAAAGGAGTCGAAAGGAAATCATTGTTTTTCATTAAAATTTTGAATCTCAGAACGTTCATCTACATTTTGATACTAAAATATTCAAATTTCGATTCACAGTTATTGATTAATCTGTAGGTTATATCTAGTAGACATTCTCGAAAAATCGCCAAATTTTTCTAATAATTTTTATTTGCTCGCTAATCTTCTTGAATGAACCAAATATATTGACAGGTCCATTTATTTACTAGAAATAAATTTTCTCAGATACATGGATATAATTTTCTTGTTTTATTTAGGATGCTCGTGAAATAGAATTCAATGAATTGAAAAATGAAAAAGAAATGTTAGAAAGTCGAATCGAAGATATTATTCGACGTCATGTACGTTCGTGAATAAATCAGAAAAAATTGTTTTTTGAATATATACGTATTGTTTAGGATGAACAACTAAAATATCAAGAGACATTAATCGAAGAACAAAATGCGGATTATAGTTATGCTCAAAAAGAAAATGAAGATTTGAAAGCACAAATTCAGACATTATCAGAACAACTAGTAAAGAACTGATATTGAAACGAACATTTTACGTTGTTTTATTTGAATTTAGAATATTGCTCAAGAACGTTTTGTGAATACTCAAAATTTGGTGTCCACATTAAAAACATCAATAACAGATAAAGTAAATAGAATTTGATGTTGTTTATTTTCAAATATGTGTCAGAACTTTTTCTTTACAGGATTTGAAAATCAAACGTTTAGAAGAAACGCCCAGTTCATTTTCAAGAACAGCAGCGATACGTCATCAGGCTGCGCCATCCGTTAGTCGTTTAACGACCAGCTCAAGTTTAAGTGGTATTTCGATACCACAAACATCACAACAAAAAGTACCAGATTCAAAAAAAGTTATTGGATCACGGTATGTTTCTAATGAGTAGTAACATTGCCACGATCGTATCTAAAATCTTTTGGTATATGTGACAGACATGAACGGTACATTAGCTAATTCTACGGATTGAAACTGCTTTTTTTTCTTTTAATAGTACATGCAACTGCACGTAACCAAAATCTAATAACTGATTTCTGATTGTGCGTTCTTTTACTTTTTTTAGTGAAAAACGTTTAGCAACACCATCCGCTACTGAATCATCTTCACCAACAAAAAAAATTCAACGAAATTATTCTCAAAAACAGGAAGATAAAGTTAGTTTATGTGATTTAATATTAATCAACATTTGTTTTATAGTGATTTTCCTTTTTAGGCTGTTACACTTAATCGTATTCGCGCCGAAGAGCAGCAAACATCAATTAATTCACAAATACTGGCTGATGATTGTGATGATGTTGCCTCGGTTAAATCAGTCAATAGCGTTGCTGTAAGTTAGAGCTTTGATTTGTACTAAAGAAAATTACGTTGTCTTGAAAAACTGCTTGATAACCGTTCGCAGGTTGCAAATCGCTTTCATACTTATCACATTGAAAAGCCGTCCTGTTTAAATATCGCATTTTCCGTCTCAAAATTTATTCAAAAGATGTCTATTTATATTTTTCGTTCTGTTTGAAATAGAGACAGGAAAAAACATCATTTTCATCGCACGTCCTTTAACACATTGCACGCTGTCCACTGATATATCAGTAGCCCAATTTGTTCTATTCAATGATGTCGTCAGCGGGCAATGGGTTAAGAACACCGGGATGTTTAAGTAAACGCTCTGTAATATTTCCTATTCTGGAAACTATAGATTTCACCCGCTTATCTTCAGGAGTAAGAAAATCGGCTCTCCATATATGTGAAAGTGACTAATAGTTGGCTCTTATACAGTTTTACTGATAATTTCTTTCTCATCAAAAACTTCATTGATAGACAATATAGTATACCTCGTTAAATCCAAGTACTTCGTTTGAGTAATGAAGCTAGTATTTGTCTCTTTTTTCAAAAGTAAATTTACTTATAAACACTTGCCTCGCTTGACAAGTATTCATTCAAATATTTATCAAGTAAAACTGCAAGTGCTTTCACAAATTACGTGTTTTGAAATATAGTGTTTTTGAAAATACTTTCTAATTTTTCCATGTACTTACCAAGTTACTTGTCAAATTTGATGAAATACTTATCAAATACTTGTATTTGTCAAATTTCTTAATACGTAGCTTTTTTACTTCTTATTCTAGTAGCTTTGAGCTGACAATGAACATTTAGGGCTTTTCTTGTAAATTCTATAGCTTTGCAAAGAAACGTCATGTAGAGCTGGGAGATGTCTCAGTTTAATGAGGAATTTGCGGACTATAATCATGCTTCATTAAAAAAGGTTTTGGTTATATTTTAGAGTGTCTGAAAAACTGTTTTTCGAGAGAACCAGGTCTTCAAGAGCCACGGGGAAAAGTACCTTATGCCATCGCAATCAGCTCTTCGAGCTCTACAAAACAGAATATGTCCCATTGAAAAGTGAGAGTAATACTTAGGGGCTTTCCCTCGTTAGACAAAAGTACATTTAAGGGCCGCCCCCCTCAGAAAAAATCTTTTTTGTCTTACATCCGATTTTGATCAAACTTTAAGCAAATATTTGCCATATCAAAGTGTGGTTATGAAATTTGTTTTAGCTCGCTATCTCTTACCATTCCGGGGTTTTCCAGAGTCCAAGGTCAAAAACCACCCTCTAGTGTGGAACCCTTTTTTTAAATATACTTCAAGCTAGAGATCTCAGATTGGTTTTATTTTAAACTAGACACCTAACTGCGTGAGGTGCTGGGACCCGATTTTTGAATTAGGCTTTCCTTTTCTAGAAAATCAAGAATCTCTGAAAAACCCGTAAACATTTCTCGGGTTTTCGAGAATCTTCGATCTCTAGAAAACTAACGAAGATCTAAATCAAAAGTCGGATC